CTCTACAGCTAAGATGGTGAGCAGCAGCTTGACCTGGAGCTGGGCTGCTGTGAGGCGCCGGCGTAGGCTGCAGTGAAGCTGCAGTGGGCTGTCATAAGCTACCGTGTGTGGCCGGCAGCCAGTGTGAGCGGCCAGCAGCCAGTGTGAACTGCCAAGAGCCGCTGCGAGCGGCCGTCCAGAGGCTGGCGACCAATCTGCCTCACCCGGGAAGAGCGCAATGATAATACCAACATGGGCTAGTGAAGCAACGTCCTCCACAACTAGACTGAAGAACAAAACGACAGCAACTTGTCTGTTCCCCTTCCCTGATTCCCCAGCACTGTTCCCCTCCCCCAACCCAATTAAAAAAAATACTATTATTAGAACAATGTATATGTTCTACAGAATAAAAGGTAATTTTATAACGTGCCTTGATTTTTAGTGACTCATTCAAAAATTATCCACAGAAGACTGGCTGGGAAGAATCCAGGTCTATTCATTTTATTTCATGATTCCAAAAGAAATTATTATTTTTATTTAGGTACTAGTATCAAGCATTAGTGAGTTCTAAGAATATAAATTTCTGATTTATTATGATAATATGCATATATCACAATTGATTATAAAAAGGGAAGAAAAAAAAAAGAAATTCCAAATCAAGTAATGGTGCCAATTTGAGAACTATTTCAAAAGACCTTCCAGGGCCGGCCAAGTGGCTCAGTTGGTTAGGAGCACGAGCTCTGAACAACAGGGTCGCTGGTTCGATTCCCACATGGGACAAGCTAAGCTGCCAACAGGTGGCAGGATGGCTCAACTGGTGAGAGCACGTCCTCCTAACAAGGTTGCCAGTTCAACTCCTATACCCACCTGCAACTAAGGTTGAACATGGCACCTTGAGCTGAGTGGCCGAGAGCTGCCGATGGGTGGCCAGACGGTGACTGGACTTGGAGCTGAGCTAGTGGCGCCCTCCACAACTAAGACAGAAGGACAACAACTTGGCTGTTCCCCTTCCCCAATTCTCCCCCCTCAAAAAAAAAATCTTAAAAAAAAAAAATCCTTCCAAAGATATTACTATAATTAACAGTAAATGACACTGAGTAGATAGTACCCTTTCATTAATGAGTGAACAGTCACGACGTCCTAACCTTTAATTATATTCTTCCTTTCTTTTCTAGTAATGCTGTAACTGCAAACATATGTTCATTCAACAAATACTTGTTAAGCCTCCAATCCTGCTAGACATTAGGGAAACAGCAGAGACCACAAAGAGAATGTCCCTAGTGAAGTCTATGGAACATCCATGACTAGTATCTTCTGATTTTTATTCTAGCTCTATTTAAGGTGTACTGAAGTATATTTCTTTGTCCCCAAATATTTAGATTTTACTTAAATTATTGTGATATGCGATGTTTAACACAAGACTATCATATAGATTTTGTCTTTTCCAACAAGTGGAAATCTTTTTAGCTTCAATGATATAATGTTCACAGTGGTAGTTTAGAAGAAAAATATTCAGATACGTAGAGTGAAATAGTGAGAACAGAATACTCATGAACAGACATCATCTTCATTTTACACATGCTAAAGCTCAAATAATTTGTGCTTTTGAAAACTAGTAAATTTACTAAATATCTCCAATATAAAGTAAAACTTAGTAACAAGAATTTTCCTTTAATAGTTCAATTCCAACCAGATTGATTTTGTTATACATATCATGGCACAAACAGCATAAACTGTGATTTTGTGCAGATTTATTTCTTTAGGACAATGGTAAATTAATGCTACAAGTTTTGGGGGCTAAAATGGAGAAACTACATTTATATTAAGTTCATGAAAGTACTCCAGAATCTTGAGGTGACTGTAGCCTGTCATTAAGGCATATGTTTACACAGGGAACAGATTTTCCTTCAGTGATAATGTGTCTGCATTCCTCCAAATGTTCTTGGTTAACCTGGTAACCTTGCATTTATTTCTGAGATGGTTAACTATGGGAGCAACGTTGGGCCACAGACCAAACTGGTTCACAGGGCTTTCTGATACCTGTTTACGTTACCCTTTGTTGCACCCCCAACCAACCTGGCTAGCAAGTCAAAGACTAATATACTTAAATGGTAATATTATGACCATACTTACGCTGATGACTTTAGCATGTATTAACTAAAAAGGTGATAAATGTAAAGATTTCATTTAATATCGAACTTATAAAGTCTTATCTAAGAATAAAAAGGTCTAACAACTTGTCAAAGTAGAATACGGCAAGTCAGTGCTTTGGGTGGCTAGACTTTTGTTTGTTTGTTTATTTATTTAGAGTGGCAACAAGCGTTTATTTAAGATCATAATAGCTTTTGGGGACACACTGATTCAGGCAGAAATCCACATTGTGTTGTGATTAGAGACGAAGGTAATGGCTATTTATGAGAAGGGAGGCATTTCTGTGGGTGCAGATAATGTAACATAGTGATATTAATTCTAAACAATGTTTTAAATCTTCAGTTCCATAGCCATCATAACTGCTTTCTTGTTATCTCTGCACACAGTTCTTCAGGAAACAAGGTTGCACTCATTTTGTTTGCTTAGTCTAACAGGACCCTGGCTACTGGAAAATCAGAATCTGCCTTCCTCTCCCCATTTCTGAGTGGATTCTACCTTGTGCAGTCCCTTCACTGTTATAATCCTATTTTATTTTATTTTTTTAAATTCTCTTTTTTTAAAAATTAGTTTCAGGTGTACAACACAGTGCAATACTTATACTTTTTACCCCTCAAAGTGACAAGCCCCTCCCCCAATCCACCGCCGATATTACACATATTACCATTCCATTGACTCCACTCCCACTTCACATCCCGTGACTATATATATATTCAATTATAGTTGACATACAATATTATACAACATCAGCTTTGGGTGGCTAGACTTTAATAAGGAATAATCAAATGATTTGCTCACAAAACTGTATGACATGGCTGTTGTTGGCCTCACTGTATAAAGCATGTCATTACTCCCTCACACTGGCCAACCACGCACAAGGCAATCCACATGAAAACATCTACTTCAGAGCCCCCAAAGTTCACAAAAAATCATAGTCTTCACTTTATAATCACCTGTGTCCTCCTCCCTCACGTGAGTCTCATTCAGACTCTCAGCAAAAGCACACGGCCGTCAACTGGCCAGCTCACAGGCACACGTGTTCCCATAGGATGCTGCTTACTAGTCTCTGGAAACACTTCCCATTCCCAGGTGCTTTTCACAGTGTCAATGGATTTCCTGCTACCTTTAACTGATTTGGCCGATGATGAAGCAGATACCTTTCTTATATCAAAAGGCTGAAGTTTTATATTATGTTTAGATTGCTCTTAGTCAATCATGTACAAACAAGGTATGGACCCAATCAATAAAGCAAGGACCTTTTTATACAGAATATAAACAATGTCAAAATGCCACAAAATTTTAACTTACCAAAAGTTTTTTGCTTGGAACTGATGGCTTTCTATGCATGCAATAATGGTTTGCTGTCCATCTATTTTTTTACCATACACCTTGATGGGAAAGAAAACAAACACAGGAGTGAATTGAGAGCGCAAAACATCCAGCCCTAAACATACATAAAATACTGAAAATTGTAGAGCATTTTGGCAGACTATGAAAAAAAATGCAAAGTAAGTCACCATTCTAACACAGGAGCTAGAAAACCAAGTGCTCATAGATGCACACCCAATCCAGATGCTTAGGGGATCATAAAAGAGCTCACAATTTAAGTAGAGTACAAGGTAGTGAGTAAAACTAACTGTACTCCAAAATATTCATAAAGATCCTAGACGTACCATATTTTTCATTCCAAATACAAGTATCATAAAAAGTGTAGATATTTTAAACACACAGATACCAATCTGGCTGTTTCCATGCAAATAAAAACTGGACCTAGATTATGATTATCATCTGTTTACTTCACAATCTTAAGGGCGGCCACTCCTCTAGTCACTTAAAAAGGATCTGGCTGGAGGTGAGAAAGTTAATTTCCTATAACTAAGAAAGGCTGCTAAGAGGATGCCTGTGACAGTACGATGATGTTATTTCATCTCTTGCCTATTGCTTTAAAAATAATGAGTACACTGTGCCTTTCAACCCCCAGGAACAGACGGGGACTCTAACTCAACCTAACCACCTTATTTTTGAGTTATTTTTCTGAAATAATCCTAGTCAACAAGGTTATAATTCATAGTACCTGTAAGGTATTTAAGTTATGCTATATTTCTCAAATAATTATTGAGAACTAGATACTTAAGGGGACCACATGAGTTTTTGTCCTAAGCAGGTTAACTTCAGAGAGTGAAGTGAGGTGCTACTGGTAATACTAATACTTCTGTTGGTACAGCAGGTATAAACCAGGATGTATGGTCACCTCAGGCTGGAGAGGTCCACAGGGCCTTGAAAGCGATGCTCAGAAGACTGGACGCTATCTAAGTGTAGTGGGGAATCTCTTAAGGACTGTAAGCAGGGGGTTTTCATAATCTGACTGGCACTTCAGAAGATCACTCTGGCTACAGAGGTCATAGAAGCACAGACAGACTGTGGGGGACTGAAAACCCTATTTGGGTACAAAGAATGTTACGAAAGAAAAAAAAAGCACTCCTACCTTCTAACATTTTATCCTGAAAATACAAAAATAGGTTAAACCTATGAAAGAACATTAAAAAAAATAAGAAATTTGATTGTAAAACACACAACGATATGATTCCGCTTCCAAATAATTTCATTTGTTCTAAGGTCTCATAACTTAATGAAATAAGCTTGATCTAAACTTACTGAGATGAGTCATGAACATGAGATGAAAGAATCTCATCATAATCATGCTCCTCTAATCAATGTATGAAAATTCCTACTCGAATTTAATTCAAGGTACAACCATTTTTTCCATTTTGGGCTATCAAAATATATTTACCATTTAGGTTTCTTGGAAAAAAAAACATTCTTAGAAATACTTCAAGAAAAAAATGAACGGCAAGTTATAAAATGTCAGTTCTATAAGTTACTATACATTTTGTAAAAACACTGTCATATTTACATAAGAGAAAAGACATGATGACTCACAGTGCAGACCCCATTTGGATAATGTTCTTTCACATAAGCTCGCAGAGCAGTTTCTACTGAAGTTCTCCACGATTCAATTGCATTGTCTGCTTCATACGGTCTTGGATCAGTTGCTTCCTTTCTTAAGTGATCAAATTTGAAACAGATTCTGTTTTTTGGATCCAAAAACTTGCCATTTCCCAAGTCGCCATGTTCTGTTATCAATACCTTCAATGATGCAATAAATTTGGGGAAAAAAGTATTTAAAGTAGCATTTCAGTACTGACATATTAATATACCTTCACTTAAGCCTTTTCCTTAAGACTATAAGTAATTCTACTCTAAACAACTGGTTTAACTACATGGCACAACTCGGATCCTTCACATGAGGAGACTATAAAGACAATGGGCTACTCTCACTCAGCTTAGATCAGTGGATCTGATCTAACAGAACTTCCAGCTACCCAGGAGGAAAATGCCATCTCCCAATACACTGCAGGAGTGTTTTTTTTGAGAACTATCAATAGTTACTTTTCCTGTTACTAGTCTCCAGTTCCTCAAATCTAAGGAACTGGCAATAGCCTTCGATGAGGAGATTGACAAGAATGGTTTTAATCCAGTGAGATTTCTCATCAGCATATCTACAGTGCTCCTGGGCTCACAATCGCAGCTTCCGTGAAGTGCCCCCTTCTTGTTTTTAACTAACCATTGACAGTTGTTTTCAACTGACTTCCAAATTTTTAAAAATGTAATTTACTCATTTATGTACATTTATGTTAATATTTATATTAATGCATAAATTTGACATTTTGTGCTTTATAATTTTTCCCTTTTCCTTCCCTTGCAACTCCCCCAGTTTTTGACTCATCTAGTGAGGACATCCCCATCCCTCTGATGTAAATCACGCAAACATAAGATGTATCCCCCTAAATTTTTTTCAGTCACATAATCGTACATAGATAAATATACATACACATCTATGTACATATATATACACGCATGCAGGGTTCTTGTTTGGGTCACTGTTTTATAACAACGAATAGAATACAAGTGCATGCACACACCTATTTTTCAGCATCTGGCTTTTTTCAACATCAATAACTTACAGAAATCCTTCAAAGTTAACTGGTATACTGCTCACCATTCTTTTCAATGGTTGCATAATATTCCATGATGTGGATATTAACATAATTTATTCTGCCATTCCACTACTGATGCACCATCTCTTTATTTCCCGGCTGTTTTCTTTTTGGGGGGAGGGATAGGTGCATTAAAAATGCTGAAATAAATATTATTGTACATATATTTTAACATGCTGGTGTTTGTATCGCCATTGGATGCTTCCATTTCTCTTGGATGGATTCCCAGCAGTGGGGACAGAGTTGAAGGGGCTTATATATTTAAATTTAATACATAATTAGATGGCTTTTCAAAAAATGGCTGTAACAAACTGCATTTCTATGAACAATATTAAGAGCTAATGTTTCCCTTCATACTATCACAATCAATAGGGATACAGTTCTTTTCTCATTCTGATGGGCATGAAATACATCCCATTACTTTATTTCTTTGACTCCTGACAGATCTAAATACCTTTCCATGTTTTGTAGACCATTTGCTCTTCTGTGAGCAAATATACTTGTCTTTTTTACCATTTCTTTTTAAAATTAATTTATAGAGTTCTTTGTTTAAGGCATCTGCTTCTTTCTACAGTTAAAATCATTATTATGTAGTAAAATGTCCAGCTTTTCTTTCATAGTTTCTGGGTTTCCAGTTTTACTTAAGATGATCTCCTGTGCCCTTATCTTGTACATGTATACTCTTTTCTTCTAAAATTTAGTCATTTTACAAATTTTTAATCCACCTGAAATTTCTGTATATTATATGAGATAGACGTCCAACTTTTTCTTGATAGAAACCAACTGTGCCAATATCTTTTATTATATGTCTATTTAAATTCCAACCTTGTCATGTATAAAAATTTTCATATTTTTGGGATTAAATCCTAAATCTATATGCTGATCTATTTGTCTATTCTATACAATACCACCCTGATTTGATTTTACATTGGTTGTAAAGATCTCTTGCTGTCTAGTAAGGCAATTCTCTCTCACTGTTCTTACTCTTCTTACATTTTCCTTGTTTTTTTTTTCAACCATGTATTTTTTAATATAAACTCTTTGAAAATTTGGACCACTTAAACTATCAGGATTCTAATCAAACTGCATTAAATTCATATTTTCATTTTTAAGTACTTAATTTAACTATCTCAAAATGAAATGTGACGTGCCTTTCCATTGTGCAGGTCCTTTTCTGTGTGTGTGTGTTTCAAGAAGACAACCACCATTTTCTTCATAACCCTGTTTCTTTCTTGTAAAGGTTATTCCTAGGTTAGTATATAGTTTTGCCACTATTTAAAATGAAAGTGCTCCCCCTCCAACCATTTTTAGTTTAAAGTACTTATTTGCCACAATAGAGGTAAGCTAATGAGTTTTGTATACTTACCTTAAATTCAGTCATCTCATGGAATTCTTATAAGTTTAGTAGTTTTTTATGGCTGGGAGGTTAATTTTATTAAAGTCTCTCAGTATGTCTAAATCAATCAATCAGTCAATCAATCATCATCTAACAGTGTTCTCTTCTTTTCCAAAGCTTTAAAAGTTGTCATTCTCTTGTCATATTTGCTACACCTCCATGATATTAGAATAATGGTGATAAGTAGATATACTTGGCTAATTTTCAATTTTAACTAAAATTATTTGTGTAGTTTATGATATTTACTATTGGTTTTGTTAAACAATCTATTATATTTAAGAGTTTTTTCTATTCATATTTTACTTAGGGTTTTTGTAATGAGGACTAGCTGCTGAATCTTCCAAATTCCTTTTCACTGTCTACTGATACATCATAAGGTTTTTCCCTTTGGATACATGCTAGTTAGTCTCGGTATATTATTTTTTTTTATATTTCCTGGATTCTGTTAATATCTATTTAAAGTTTTAAAATCTATAGTCATATGGGAGATTACTGTAGAGTTTCTTTTTGTTTTATCTTTATTAGATTTAAGTATTAAAATTATACTAGGTTTGTAAAACAAGTTTGGGAGCTATCCAACATTTTAAAAAGATACCTGAAACTAAAAGAAAGAGAAAGAAAGAAAGAAAGAAAGAAAGAAAGAAAGAAAGAAAGAAAGAAAGAAAGAAAGAAAGAAAAGATAGATGCATTCTCTAGACCCAGCAAATCTTCTTTTAGGAATTTATCTTAAGAAAACAACAGTGGATGTGCCTGGAGGTACAAAGATATTTAATAAGCATTATTCATAACGCTAAAAATAAATTAATCAAAATACCCAAAATCTCACAAGAGAGAAAGAAAATAAATTTAGGAGATTAATAAAATGAAACACTATATATCATTTTATATATGTGTATACACACATGTGTATCTCTATATATTTAAGCTTATGTTTTGCTTTCAGTTACAAGGCATCTTTTATCTAGTCTCTTTTCCCCCTGTAACTAAAAGGCTACATATTACATAAGGAATAATGCCAAATATAAGCTTTGATATAATTAGCCAGTAAGAACTAATGGTTACTACTCTTATGTTCTACCTACCAGTTCCTTCTTCATACTGTTTTACATAAATTGTGCTTCACACACGAAAATATGAATTAATACAATCACTATTCAATTACTAGGAACTCTAAATAAAAAAAAATAAGAATGCTAGTGACCTTTTGTGGCTTTTCTTAGCTTAGCAATTTTAACTCGCACTCTGGAAAGAAAAAATTTATTACTAAATGCTAAGTTACTCACATGAAGAATTGTAGAATTCCAGAGCAACCAAATTATGATATAAATCTTACTAATATATTGTCTAGATTTTGGGTTAATATAGGATTGATTTTTTTCCTATAGAAAACAAGAAAGTAGATTTAAAGCAATTATTTTCTAAAATCTTAAAAGAATTACATTTGAATATTTCTAAAAGGAACTTTCTGCTAATAGTATTGGTTTCAACATAAAAAACAAAATTTTCAATTACTTTGCCCATAAGTGGCTAATGATTAAAGTGAACATTTTTTTATGTTTTAAACACACCACTTCACAATTCTTGCAGGAAAATAATAACCATGATAAATGAAACAAAGAATAGCTACATCCTGTGTTTATTATGAAACATACCTGATCTTCATAACCTTCAATTTTTACTGGAGTAAACTGGTCCAAGTTATACTGTGCAAATGCACTAAAAAAGAAAAAGGCCAATTACTTAAAATTACTTACTTAATACCCTTTGAAAAATCATAGTCAAACAATTCATATGTCAATAAAAGTCACATGACAAGTTAAATAAAATTATAACTCTCCATTAGCGATCTTATATTAACTATAAATATTATACAGGTATGGCTATTTTCAAAAATGATGATATCCAGCTTTCAATATTTAGCAAAAGAAAATTAAATCAGTAAATATAATTAATGTTTCCATTCAAAACCCTGAAAGTAATAGCCATTTATAAGATACATATCCAATTATTCACATATTTAGTATACGACAGACCAGAAAACAAGGTAGTTGCTATGAGAGATGCAAAGAGTAACCAGACAGATCCTACGATCAAAGCGCTTACTGCTGAATAGGAAAGGTAATAAACATAAGACAAAAGTAGAAAGTACCATACAGAATGACCAATAAAGCACCATTCATAATACATCTATTGTTTAAATTACATTCTAAAAGAAAAGAGAATCAGATGTGATTTCATAATGGATGTGATACTGAGAAATGGCCTTAAAACAATGGGTATAAGCTCTCTGGTCTTGTAGAAATTGGAGGGATGTGAAGAAAAGAATATTTCAATTAGAGGAACCAAGATGGGCAAAGCACATGAGCAGACAGGTTAGGTCCACCATCCCAGAAAGACCAAGCTCAATGCCTGGCACTCAGCAGGCATTTTGTTATGTTTACTGAATTCAACAGCAATTGAAAGGTGGAATAATTACTTCATTTGAGAAGCAAAGCATAATCACTAAAACTTTCTGAGAAAGGAGAACATAGGACTACTTTAAAAAAGATTAATTTGGCAGTAGTGTGTATGACAATTTGGGAAGTGAAGCAACTACAGCCAGAAAAAGCTATTAGGTTATTGTTAGGCAAACATCCATATTAGAACTGCTGAGAGTCTGAACCAGGAAATGGTGATGAGAGGAATTCAAGAATAAAGCCTCACTCTATTCTTTACAAGTAAAAAATAATATTATGTAACTATATAATACACTTGTAGAAAAAACTCTCATCGTACAAATAATGATCTAAAAATATATGAAGATCATACTGTATTTTATGACATCTATAACCTGAGAAATTTCTTCCACTTAACAGAAAAGATGTTGAGAATTTTAAAATTTAGTAATATATCTCTCAATCAAATCTACTTGGGAACTTTACACATTACTCTGGATGGCAAGATGTCCACTGCATTTTCAGGTATTAGCTACCGAGTCTCTTCAGAAAGGAATATTTGGTTGACCAAAGCATTACTGAGATAATAAAAGACTAGCAAATGTAAAAATAGCAAAGTAGAATTAAGTTTCTAGCTGTTAAATTCTTGACATTGCATGTTCAAAAAAGATGGGAGTAAATATAGAAATGCTTAAAGGGGACGGAGAAAGAAGTATCTATCCACTTGTGATTTTCTTAATTCATTAAAACCACAATCTTCCTAGGAATAGCCTCAACATATAACAAGGCAGTCATTAACCCTTAAATGAGTCTACCTTGAAAGTATGTCTGAGATTAAAAGAAAAGTCATGCACTGCATAACCATTTCGGTCAATGATGAACCACATATATGATGGTGATCCGTAAGATTTTAACGGAGCTGAAAATTCCCGATCGCATAGTATGTCACAGCACAGTGCATGACTCACATGTTCGTGGTGATGCTGGTGCAAACAAACCTAATGCGCTGCTAGCCTTATAGAGAAGTATAGCACATCCAACTATGTACAGGACATAACACTTGATAATATATGATTATGTTACTGGTTTATGTATGTACAATACTATACTTTCAATTGTTACTTTAGAGTGTACTTTCTACTTATGTAAAAAAAGTTTGCTGTAGAACAGCATGCCGTTACGCCAGCAGCAGCCTCATACATCTCTCGTTTACTGTCTCTCGACTGCATCGTTTTCTCTTGTGCTTGACTGAATCTCATGTTGTTTTGTACAGTAACATGCTATATAGGCTTATAGCCTAGGAGCAATAGGCTATACCATCTAGGTTTGATTTTTGCACGAGGATGAAATTCCATTTCTCAGAACGGATCCTTATTGCTAAGTGGCTATATTCTAAATCACTTAGAATTTAGGACTCATTTTCCAGTAAAAGACACATTTAAATAACAAATATGGATAGTAATCTGGTCCTAGGCTTTTTATTGCCCATAATAACAAACTCCATCTATCTATAATTTGGGAGTGGGAGAGTAACAGGAAATCTAAAATGAAGACAATAAATATGAAATAGGTAAAATTTATTTATTTATTCATTTATTTGGGGGAACAGCCATGGTCATTGGTTACACATTGCTTTCATGCTACAATGGCATAGTTGACTCTTTTAGGGAGGGCACAGCTCACAGTGGCCCATGGGGGGATCGAACCGGCAACCTTGGTGTTACCAGCACCACGCTCTAACCAGCTGAGCTAACTGGTTACCCTGGTAAAATTTTATCTTAAATGCTCAAAGCAAGTTAAATAGGTCACAGTTACACAGTACAGTGGGAAAGGTACTTCTTAACCTAGAAGTCGGAATATAGAATATCTATGTTTTATTTAAACTCCGCATTAACTAGTGTGGGTACCATTTAGCTCATCTACAAAAAGAAGGCTTTGGGCTGGATTACTTCCCAAGTCCCTTCCAGCTCAGAAAACTTATTCCATCCACCCACTCACCACCCAACCCTCCATCTATACAAACATTTAAGTGTAAAGCACTGTACTAGATACAGTGAAACAGCAATTCCTCTGCTTGTAGAGTTCTATAGCCCAATTCATTTCTAAGTCACCTGGTTCCTATATTTAGATTTTTCACCCTTTACTATTAGTGATTCACGAATCACATCTTAAACTTTTCACCATGTGTTTCCCTCAGTTTGGCCACACAATTTCTATTATTTACTATTCAAATTCTATTCATTATTTAAACTTAACTCAAAAAGCACCTCTAAATAGAAATTTAAAATTTCTTCCTTTGGGGTCCAAAACCCTTTGATATACTTCTATTATGATAATATTTTATTTCATTTGGCCTCATATTAAATATGTCCGACTCTCAACTGGAAAATCCCTAAAAGGTTTATTGATCTCATCATCATAGTTAACTCTGGCATTCATTGAATAAAAGGCTATTTCTGGATATTTCAAAGTGTTCTAGAATTGAGAGTACCAATTCTTCTAATTTCATGATGAAACAGACTGAATAAAGATGTCCAATTAGAACCATGTGGAAGTCCTCTTTCATGAGTGACTTTAGTTGCGCTGTTGTGGCTGCCTCCATGTCCTGAATCATTTTGACTTTGGGGAAGACTCAGAAGTTGCACGGTGCCAGATCCGATGAATCAGGCAGATGAGGACACACTGTGATGTTTTTATTTGACAAAAACTGCCGCACCAGAAGCAATGTGTGACACAGAATTGTCATGATGGAGGGTGAAGTAAAGACACTCATGAAAGAGGACTTCCAGAACTGCTTCAGAAAACGGCAAGAACGATGGGATAAGTGTGTTTGAAGTAAGGGGGTTGTATTCTGGGGGGATTAATGGCAATGTGTCTTTTACTGTAATAAATTTAAAAAATTTAAACATTCACCGTATTTTGTGATCATAACTCATATGTAGATATTCCCCCCAATAAAAAATAATAAGTAAAAACTGCTATTAAAAAATATAGGAATTTAAATCAGAAGCAAAATCAGATATGCCTACAAGTCTTTTGAACCTCTATCTTCATTACCATTAATTGTAAAGAAATTTATTTGATGAAGCCTTCCAAATTGAATTAGAGCAAATTCCCCCCCCATTAGTTAGGATGTCACATGTTGGATAGCATACTAGGATGAGTAGGTGACTGGATGGATACTAAACACTCTGTAAGGCACTAAAAATCTGCTTAATTTCATCATTTTCAAATGAGTAATGGAGTTGGTTAGCCTAAAATATAGGTCCCCAGGCCTTATTTTGGGAGTTGGGGGTGGGGAAGAGAATTGACCATTTTTCTGAAATCCTACGATAGGTGTGGCAAAGCATGATTCTGGTCACCGGTCCAAAGATGATGTACTGGGATTTAGAAATTGCCTCGTTTCTTTCAATCACTTATAAATTTGGTAAATATTAGGTAAATATGTGTCAGGTACTACATTAGGTATTTATGGATGAGTAAAATAAACTCCTAACCCTCAAAAATCCATTAGGGTCAAACATATAAGAAAAAGTAAAACCTGAATAAAAATTAAAGCAATCATAATTTCAAAAACAAAAGTTTCTAAAATAATTTTACCTAACTTTGCAAAAGTCAAAATGTAGTACTGAGTGTGTAAGCCACTGCCAAACACACAACAAATAGAGAATTTCATGTTATAATTGTGTCCCTATGTCCCTCTGTGATAAAAAATATTTCTCTCCTAGTCTAGTACATATGTATATTTATATATTTGGACTTGATGTGCAAATATCTATTTCAGGGATTACTAATTAAAAACCACTTTTAAAACATTTTCCCATGACACTTTCGTTATGTTAAATAGAATACTTACTGGGCTGCTCCTTCCCTGAGAAGATTATCATTATTAAGCAGTAACCGAACATCTGCAAAACAAACATTATGTTTTCTATATTACTATTTTTATATGTTTGAAATTTCTGTGTAATGAATGCAGCTTATTTTGGTCATGTATTAATACCCCCCCAAACATGTATGGAAGAGCAAATGATCACTGATGGCTAAAATAAGAACAAAACACACCATGGTATTAATTTTAAAGCTGATTAGGAAATAAAAGAGGATATGAAATGGAAACACAAGTTATTTTATACCCTTCACAGTCAATGCAGACATACTGAAACGTTCGACTGAAACGTATCTCCAAAGAACTAAAGTGATACCAAAGGATGGTGTGCTGAGATCTGCAGAAGGCTTCACACTGGGCCTTAAATTTGACACTGCTGTCATGAGTTCAAGTGCATGTGCTCTATGGAGAAGGGATTAAACAAGAACCCGCTTGTGAACAGAGTGCAGATGTAGGCACTTCTGTCCTCAAGCAGCATGTGTTCAAACAGAAGATGAATGTATTTATTTCAATATGGTTGGTGGCTGCTTTATTTGATTTAATAATCTTGCTTTGGTTGATTCTTAACTCTGTCCTAATTTTAGATCAATTATTATGTAGACATTTGCCTATTAATCATTAAAACATAATTTTAAAAATATTTTTTATTGGAAAACCCAAGCACTCTGTAAAACATAAAGGAAAAAAAATTACATAATGTCACCCAAAAGAACCAAATTTCTACAGTAGTCTTGGTATATTTTATGTTATTTTTCCTATGCGTTTAGCTGTTTTTCCATAATTGTTACCATACAACTATTTTTTCATTAAATGAAAATAACACAAAGCATCTTTCATTAAGAAACTGATTTCATTAAGAAACATTAAGAAACAGTCTATAGTTCTCAGAAACAATGTAAACTTGGACAGCCATTAAAAATAATGCAAATACTTGTATGTATTTATCAATATAGAAATACATCCAGAATATAATAAACAGGAAGTGGGAACTGAGCATGTTTAGTATTATCCTATTTATATAATATTATGTATGTGTCTAAAGTGAGAGGTATTGAAAGTATTTCATTCAAACAGTGGATAACTGGAGGGCAGAATTTTGTGTGATTTTTAGGTTTTATGCATTTTGCATGACTGAATAATTTTTACAAAAACAATAGTTATCTCAAAAGAAAAAACATTGCTTATTCACATACCTATGTTTCAGTAGTAGGACCTGATTCAAAAAACAATCTCCTTTGCTAATGACTAAAATAATACTAATTTGATTTTTAAGTTAACTTATTTTAACAATGGAAGCTTCTGCCTAAAAAACATAGACATTAATATCTATAGTTATTCCTATCTCACAAAGCAAACTGGGAAGTTCTATTTAATATGATTCTTCCATCTGCAATATTTAAAACAATCATTAACAGTGATATTGCATGGTAATGTATCTTTTCCAGTTATAAAATGGGAAAACAATTCAAAAGCAGAATCTATTTGATTGAGTTAGCTTTATTCTGGAAAAAAAAGTCATGCTTCTATCATAAGAAAAGTGCACAGTGGGAGAAAACAGACAGAGAAGAATTTGAATAAAATAAAATACTCTTAAGAAAGGAATTAGGCTGTGGTTCCAAGCAGGGCTACACATCAGAACCGTAATAGGGTAGTGGGTGGGAGGCTTAAAAAATTTTTTTTGAAGTATATATTTCAGCGTCTCAGTGTAGATCTACCAAACCAGTTTCGGAGAATGAAGACCAGAAATCTATTTCAATAATTCTAATTATCTGGTTTTGGAAATAACATTTGGGAAGCACTGAAATGAAAAGTTTTTATGACCACAATTCTAAAATTGGTAGCTTCTCTAGGAATCATTCTGATACCAAAGTTATCAACAAAAACAGAATGAAAATAATCAAATTCACATGAGATTTTTCCCCTCAAATATTTAATTCCTTTTAAAATCTAAAATAACCCCCCTGTTGAAACTTACATAACATTCTATATTGCACTTGTATTCCACACTTCACTCTCCATCCCAGGCCTACTGAATGGCTCATTCTAAAAGCCCAAATTTACTGTAACTCAGTACAGAACATATCAATTCAACAGCAATTTCCAATGAGACTCAGAAAAGCAACTTCAAGGACTTCTACATTCTTTTAGGACCTTTCTGAGTAAAACATTTCTAGGACATTTAATTCAGGGTAAAACCAGTAAGTGAAAAGCTTTCTTATAATTTATTCTTGGCTCTGTGAACTGTACAGTAGTCTGGGGACCACTGACGTTAGTGCCATTTCACCATTATCCATTTAGGTATATGTCAGCTTTTGAACCTCAGGAGAGGAGACTGTATCTTCTTTAATGCCCAACTATCAAATGTATTAACGTATTTAGGTTATAAAGGCTTAATATTAACTGAAGTTAAACTCTACAAGAAGAAGAAATGCTTTGAATTCTCCCCAACTTCCCAATTCACTATAAGAGGTTTTATAATTATCTTAAAAGGTAGAATTATTACAATTCCCAAATTTTTTCCACAGTGTAAACTTGCTATTCTGCCTCTAAATGTAGCTCAGTGATTAAATTTTAAAATGTATAACAATTACCATATACAATTGCATTCACTAAATCATGTATTATAATAATTTGTGGGTGACTTGAGAGATTTTCAAGGGTAATTTTACATTTATACAACTTTTGTGTCATATTTTGACTTTCAAACCTAATCTTTTCTGAGGTGAGATTCCAATTATATCTTAGATTATGAATGAAAATGAGTGATTAAATTTCTTAATAAATACATTTATATAGTTTACTCTGGAGTAGAGTTTATAAAATGAAATTGAAAAACCCTATGTAAATTAATTTTAATTTAAGACACAGTGAAGGCCAAATATATATGAATTAGAAATGACACATTTAGGGCCGGCTGAGTGGCGCATTGGTTAAGAGATGGCTTGGGATGCCAGCTCTGAGCAGCAGGGCCTGGGTTCAGATCCCACATTACAGCCAGTGATGCTGCGCCCTCTACAGCTAAGATGGTGAACAACAGCTTGACCTGGAGCTGGGCTGCTGTGAGTTGCCGGCAACGGCGTAGGCTGCAGTGGGGCTGGCTGGCAGTTGGCGTGAGCTTTCGTGAGCCGCTGTGAGCAGCCATCTAATGGTCAGCGAGCAACTGCCTCACCTGGGAAGAGCGCAATGATAATACCAACTTGGGCAGGTGAAGCGACGTCCTCCACAACTAGACTGAAGAATAAAACGACAGCAACTTGTCTGTTCCCCTTCCCCAATGCTGTTCCCCTCCCACAATTCCCCAATAAAATCTTAAAAAAAAAACACAACACATTTAATGTACTTGTGGTAGCTTATTCTTAAAAGTCCTTAAGGAAAGTTTTATAAAAAGATCACTACTGGCCATATCCCTGGAAATTTCAACCATGTCATCACTGTTAACGTGAAGAAACTGTTACAGTTTTCACAGCAACCAGGAGACTATGCAACAGTTTAAATTTCTGATTATACGTGAATAATTATTAAAATGTTTGTCAGTGAGGTTTAAAGAAAGACATACTGTAAACTAAATTATAAGATATAATTTAAATAACAAATTGTTTTTACATGTGCTATTATCTCCTAAGCATGGTGAAACAATGTCTTTTCCCCCCCTTTTGGGGCTGTTCGTATTAACCCAGTATGTTTTTCTTTACAAGAAATACAAAATGCATTTCCCAATTCTAAGAAATAGTTAAAATTAAAGTTTTGTCTCTTTAAGTGATTTATTATCCTTTTAAGAGAATTAAGTTAGTCAAACATAATTATCATATATATCATAAGTACATTCATTATATTCTAGCCATTACAAAATCCAGACTTATTAAATTTTTCACTGTAATTCAGAAAATACAGATTTTTAAAAATATATTCCCCTTAACTTAGTTATTTTGGTTATGGAATTTATTCTTTAGAAAAAGAGTGTTTGACATATCCAGCCTTAGTGTTATGAATTAAACACTTACCATTAAACACCTCATTAAATTCTCCAGGAGGGGCATGAATGATGAACTTTGCTGCTATACGCACCTAAAATAGAAATGAAAATATAAATGCTCCATAGCATAGGCTTCTGCTAAAATAACAAAAAAAGTACAAAATTATGCTATTCTCAAGTTCTATTGAAAATGGCTTGAGAAAAATTTAAGGATAGTGACACTTCCTCACTGAAATACATTAAATTTATTACTTTTTAAAAATAGCTTGTTACTGGACCAGCAGAGTGGCGCGATGGTTAAGAGCTGGTTTGGGATGCCAGAGGGCCCGGTTCGGATCCCACATATGAGGGCCAGTGACACTGCCCTCTACAGCTAAGATGCTGAACAACAGCTCA